AGAGAAGTACTGGTGAGAGATTGTTCAGGAGTTTTTATATTATTATTATTTTTTTTTTTTTTGGTAGAATTAAGAATTGTCTAAAAAAGATCTATAATAGTATATTTTTAAGTTTTTACTTGCTAATATTAAAAACGATGAGGAAAAAAAGTGTAGAGGAAAAGAATATAATATTAATAATAATAATAGTAATTATTATTATTAAAAAAAAAAAAATTAAAAAAAAATATTCTGTGGAAGACAAAAAATTTTTCCATTTAAATAATCTGGCACAGTAAATATACATTGTTTTTTGGTGCTACAAGCCACATTTTTAACTTTTTTAATTTTAAATAGATAAGGTTAATTTTTTTTATTTTTATTTTCAAATCGTCAGTTTTACATTGAATATATTATTAATATACCCTTTTGACCTAATAACTAGAACTATTCTATATCTAAAACTCCCAAGCATAGTATAAACCGAAATTAAAGAAACCTTCAACAGGTTATGGATGCAATTTTATTAAAATTCACAGCTCCTCCCTCCCCATCACACCATGAATTTTCCACCTTCACATAAAATATTTTTTCATTTACAAGAAGTATTAAATGTTACGTATTAGAATAAATGATCATATAAATGCCAGGGTTTGTTTCCTTGAAGCAATGTACAGATGATATCTTTAGATAAAATTTATGTGAATTTGAAACGAAAAGTTAAATGAGAGCCAATCGAAAGGAATTTCGCACCCAAACACAACACACAATATTTAATTATACATACAACATTTATAAAGGATTAACAAATAAATAAAATAAATTGCATCGCCAAGTAATAATAATATTAGATTATGAGGAAATGAAACTTTTAAGGATCCTTGAGATCTGAAGTAGGGAGGTATATTCCTTTTCATATTATATATTGGTGATAATAAACCTCAAATTGAGCTTAGGCATTATTAGATTTATAGGAATGTCCTTTCCCACGCTCAACATTGGAGATGTTCCTTGGAAACTTTTCTCTCTATAATAAATATGATATATAGAAAATGCGTACCATACTGAAAGGCAAGGAGTACTGTACCAAAAAAAAAAAATAATACCGAGTTCAACATAGAAATTCATATTCTCAACATCCTCCCTCCCAATACGGTACTCACCTTATGTTGTATAAGGCGAGTACCGTACTAAAAAGTAGAGTACGCACTTTCTACATGTCGTTTTTTTCTTTTCTTCAGCAATTTCTACATACCGGTAATAATATGGTTGAGGAAGACTTTTGTTTGAAACCTCACAGTTGGTCCTTGATAGTGTAAATATCTAGATTCTTTTTATCAATAAAATGAACATAAAATACTTGGCTCATAAATTTTTTCTAGATGTTTAACTTTGCTATGGAAATACAAGTTTTTTAACATAAGGCCTTTCAGACCAAGAGTAAAAATAAAACTTTGTTCCTAAGCCAGTACCGAAGGTCTTCCTCGTGAATATTAAAGATGGATTCATGACCGATTGACTGATACCTAATTTATAAGTATTGATGATATTAGAGAGATAGTTGATACGTTAGTTGATATATTTCAACTAGAAACATTAGATTCAGACTATAGTTTCTGAAATTGAAGCTAAACCAAACTTGGTTCAAATTTCTGAAATATATAATTTTTGCTTATTTAATTTGAATACTTGTAACTCGTTTTTCTCCAATTCATTTAGTCCAAAGAATGTAACATTATATCATAAATAACTATTTAAAAACTCGGACTTTTAATCAAGCTTTCTGTTATTTTATCATTTTCATATCCAGCTTTTTTTGATACTTTGTTGCATTATCAACTAAATTAATATTGTTCCTTTTATGGTGTACACCATCTACAAAGACATCAAATATTATTTTCAATCTTAAATTCTAAGATTCAATAACCACAATTAGAAGAAGGAGGAAGACTTTCTGTTTTTGCAATCTAATAGAAGGTGAAAAAATGCCTAAAACATATTTACTTCCTTTAATTGTCAAAGATCTGTAAGATATCTTTTGATCAATGTGATAATTCCTAAATTTAAACTTGTCTATAGTGCTGTTGGTTTTTTTTCTTTGTTCCCATTAACAAATTTCTAACGTAGTAAGAATATCATCCATGTTATAAAAATATCAACAGGTAACTTTTACTAAGTAACTGAAGATCGGTAGTACCAAAGTGGAATTTCTAGAACAGCTTAATGTCATTGGTTGAGTAGAGGAGTGGCTAATTGATTTTTCCTTCGCCGATGATTACACGTAAAAAAGAATTAGTAAATACCTAAATCGCCTTCAAGGTATGCCTACCTATATACCATTTAGGTATATCAGTACACTTTGTCGACGTATTTAGTATTCAATATGCCAATACACTATGCTAACTTGTCATGTCAACGTCCTCACTATGTCGACGCATACGCATACTAATAATTCTCTAATGTGAATTAAATATAATACATTTTAAAAAGTACATATGAACCATGAAAACATATTAAACGAAAAAAAGGCTTCGTACAACAATGTTCCTTTATCACTTTTGTCAGAATGTTTATTCTATAACATTAAAAAAGGTACATAGGTAAACTCGATAAGTCGGCCATGAGTGGCTGGGCATGATGGACCGACTTATCGAGAGAATCTACTTATCAAGAACACTTGACTTTAAATTTTTAGTATCAAATTTATTCATAATTATAAGGATTTTATAAATGTAAATGGGGCTTTTAAAAACAATATTTATTTACATTGATTTTTATATAGGTTTTTCAGAAGATTGTGAAATCAACCTTTTTATAAATATAAATATAATAAAAACATAAATACATTGTTCATGATACAAAAAAGAAATGGTTTCTAAATTATCAAATGAGATAATAAATGATGCAATTAATGATATAACTTAAATACAAATGCATTGTTCATGATACAAAAAAGAAACGTTTTTTCTTAGATAATAAATGATATAACTAACAAGATAATAATTAATATATTGATCACGATACAAAAAGAAACGGGTTTTCTGAAATAATAATAATAAATGATACAATCAATGATGTAACTAACAAAATAATAAATGATATAACTGACTAGATAATAAAATATTAATATTCATTAATATAATTTTTTTGCGTCGGATCTCACTCAATGCAAATGTCATGTGATACCCATTTATTTAGAGTAATTTACATACGCCCTAGAAGAAGGATTGACCGACTTACAGCTTATCGCGATTTTATATAGATTGTCCGACTTATCAAGAGATTTTAATATTGAAAAAAATTTTGGCCGAGTTAGACCAAATCTGACTTATCGAGTTTACCTATGTAGATTTTACATCATAGAACTTTACAAAAAAAAAAGATTATTCCATGTTTTTTTTAAACGATGATATTCTCCTGCTAGATTATACACGTGATCACATACGCATATTAATATAGAGAGTAGCGATTCCTCCATCCTACATACCCACCCAACCACCTAAAGGGCGGTAATTTCAGAACTAAATAAACATACTAAAAATATTCAGATTAATAAATGAAAGCTATCCATTTGTACACAATGACCAAACTGTCTACATGTTCAACCTTTACATTCCATTGCTATTATATATTTTTTGTTCATCGATATGAATGTTTATATTATCATTTAAAGTTTTTTGGTCTTCCCTTTATGTCTTGTGATGATGGGATTTGAAATATCATCACTTTGATCATTAGATATGTTACTCAAAGAATGCATTGCGTGATTGTATATTTGAAAGAAGTGCTTTCAAAGTAATAGTCAATTCATTGTACATGTTAGCCTTTATTGCACAATCAATAACCTTCTTTCATAATCCAAACAATTCTGCATATGTTGTTGTGAATCTTTTGGCATTTTACAAAAGAATCATTTATAATTGAACGAAATGAACATAATTGATTTAATGTTACTTGATGTTGTTGTTTATCGCTGTCATTTGAATCAGGATAAATACACATTTGAATAGCTGATTAATGATCCATATAGAGTCTTCATCCTTGTCATGGATATTTTGTTTTTTTTTTAGAATGAACAATGCGACGTTTCATAGGATCAGTTGTAATTGTGTATTGTGTTTACCCGATTTTGTACATTCATATGTTAACCTTCACTTCGTCTTGTAATGTGTAATTATCAAAAAAATTTCGCATGTTCTCATGAAACAAAAGTAAGACCTTCTTCCAAATTCAAAATATCTATGAAATTAAATGTAGTAAAAGTTATTTATATTACGTAACATTACACAAACGCATGACCTGAGTAATTACTATAACATCCGATTGATGATCCTTTTCATTTTCATTTTCATTTATTATTTTTAATTGAAAAAAAAATGAATACAACGTTTGAAAAGTATTTTAATGAAAATGAAAGGTTGTTAAATACCGAAAACTTTTATGATGTAAAAGTATATGTTGGTGTAGAACCAAATATTAAAGAATTTCATGCACATGCATCTATTGTGTCAGCTCATTGTCCACTTTTTAGCAATGAATTAAGTAATGCAACAAAAGAAAATGGATATTATATTATCAAAAAACCTAATATTAGTGACAAAATTTTCAATCCTATTCTCAAGTAAGTTTAAATAAACATATAAACATATTAATTAATTTATTTATTAGTATTGAATATATAATAATAATCTGTTTAATAATTTATTTATTGTCAAAAGGTTTTTATACACATGTAAAGTTGAAATTGAAAATTATTCTGGGGCTGAATTATTGAAATTATTAATTGTGGCCAATCAATTTGGTATTGAGTCACTTTATGAATATATGATGAAATACTTTGTTAAAAATCATGATGATTATATAAAAGAAAATCCAGTTAAAATTCTGCAATTAATTTATGCTAACAAGAATTTTAAGGATTGGGAAATATCTATTTAGAAAAATTTTGTGAATATAGTGAAGAATTATTTGAGTCAAGTGAATTTAAATTGTTGGAAAAACCAACTCTATTGGAAGTTCTTAAAAGAGATGATTTTTATGCTGATGAGATTGTTATTTGGGAAAACATTCTTGAATGGGGATTGGCAAATCATCCAGAAATAAATAATAATAATATTGAAACTGACATTGAGACCACACAAACCATCATCTCCAAACAAACCAATGAAGGTGCATTCCATCTTTCTGACACACTTTCTGAAATTCTTCACATTTCTCCAGATACAACATCTCAATCATTTACATCTACCATTCAAAATTATGCTATCAGTGAACATCTCAAGGAAATGACTAGGCATTACATTTGGTGGACAACTGCAATAACAATTGGTTTTCTTAAATTGCATGCTTTCTCTTATGAAACAACTTGGAAAATTCATTATGAAAACGCTAGAAAATATCTAAGTGTAGAAATCAAAGATGTTGAATTTGAAGAGGAGCTTTTGAAAACTTGTACTAGAATTGTTGAAGAAAAAGCATCTCATATAAAAATCAATAATAATGTTGAAAATTGGTCATCACAAAATTTTGTTGATTTAGGCAACACATTAAAAGAATTTCTTTCTCTAATAAGATTTCAGGATATTTCTAAAGGTGATTTTTTTGATAAAATTGCACCATATAGCATGCTTTTTCCTAAATCTTTATGGAATAATTGGTTGCAATATTATCTACTTCCTAATAGACAAACATTAAATCTATTACCATCAAGAAGTCCTAAACTTCAATCATTAAATTCAACACTTAAATCATTGACAATCAATCGAAGACTTACTTTTTTTTTTGCAAGTTGGATTGATAGAAAAAGTCCACCATATACTTTGTTCAAAGAAGTCAAATATGAATTCAAACTATTATATCAAAGTAGTAGAGATGGTTTAAATGGAGCCGCATTCCATAAAAAATGTGATAATATCAACAAAACTCTTGTAGTTGGCAAAATACAAAATTCAGAGCAATTAGTTGGTGGTTATAATCCACTTAATTGGAATGGAGATGAATATAAAAGTACGAATGAAAGTTTTATTTTTAATATTAGTAATAGGAATGATGCCAATACTGCACAATTTAGTTATGTTATTGACAATGAGTTCGCAGTTTATTGTTCTCCTTCTTTTTTACCTGATTTTGGTTATTGTGATGGTGCTTTTTTTAAAGAAAATGGTGAAATTGGAAATGATACAACTACTTATAATAACATCAATATAGTAAATAATAGTAAATTTGATGAATTGGAAGTTTTTCAAATAATTGTTAAAAAGTAAAAATAATAAATATAATGTTAGATTGTAATATTAATTTAAATACTTTATTTAATAACTGCATCTTATTCACTGAGCTTGAGTCAAGTCTAGCTCAGCTCATTTGGAGCTTTAATCCTGACGGAAGACATAACTGAATTTTTCATATTTGCAAACAATGTTTTTATATCACTCATAATTGATATCATTGATTCTTTCTTATACTTCTTTTTCCAAATGTCAAATGTTCACCAATTCTTCCCAATATTCTTGAGATCCGACTTGTTTAATGCACCAATTTACTTGTCTCAGGGTTGGAATAGACCAGTTACATTGAGACTATGACTCTCCAAACTGATTTGAAAAACTGATCTGATACGAAATCTGTCTAATCTGATTTGATCTGATCTGATCGATCTGGTTCTTTAAAATCTGATTTGATCCAAAATATCTAATGTATAATAATAATTTAAAAAACGATTTTATGAATTAAAGAAATCAAGCAAGACTATGAAAAAATCTTATGAATTAAGAATTTTGTGAATTCAGATCGGTTTTTTTCTTGATTTTTTCCAAGTGAACTTTCCAATCAATTTTTAAATTTTCTTATCCTTTTATCCACTCGATTAATTCGCATCAAGCTTTTGAAAAAGTATTCAATAATGGATAAATTTGTTATATATTCACAAAGTAAACTCTGAAAATAAAAAAAAAAGTAATGAAGGATCCAAATAGGTAGTAGCTAGTACACAAATAAGAAAACAACTGGACAAGAATTAAATAAAAAAGTACATGAAGATTTTGATCCAAATTGGTTACGAATTACCCTTGGCTTGAACAAGTGAAGATAGTAATGGAAATGTGACAATGTTTTGCAGCTGGTGTAAAATGCAAAAAAAAAAAATATATATATTTGCAATGGGTACACAATCTTGCTAATACCAAAAGTAAACACTTGAACACATTTAGATATTGATGGTCAATAATAACAATAAACTATTATTACTGACCGCAGATTAGTTTGCTAATAATGTGTGGTCAGCGCACTTTAATATGGTAGCAATGTGCTAATACCACACATAATTTTGAGTTTGAGTTTTAGAAACTGGTGCCAGCTGCCCCCGTGGCAGTTAAAGCTGTTGGTGCTTATGTTGTTGGTGGTAATGTTCCAATAATGTTTTTGAAGTTAGAGGAGAAATTAGAATTAAGAGACAAGCAGTAAGTTATTGGAATCGCATCAACTATCCATCTTACACCAGAAGAAGTGTATGGTAATTTAGAAAGATCTTTCGCAACAACTCTTATATTGGAATTTATAACCTTTAGGTCAGGGTGTGATGGACATTTGATGAGAAATTTTTGCATTGGGCTAACTATAGAATCTACTGTGGGAAATAAATGATGATTAAATCAAATCAAATAGTTTAGAAACAAATTCTTTTGCTTTTATAAGTAACACAATAGATAATAACTGATAATAAAATAAGATGAATGCGTGCCATTGTGTTTTATTATTCTAAGTTTTATTGTTAGGGAAAGAAAAATATTTTGTAATTAGGATGGAGGAATAGATAGTATTTACATGGTTCAAAAACGATCAAGAGAAATAAAAATTTTATTAGCGGACATATTTAGTATTTATCGGAACTTTAACTAAATATTAACCAAACAAGGCGAGGTTAATTATCGTTGCGCTAACAAAAAACCGCATTAATTAATAAATAAAAAAATGAATTACTATTGCCAATTTTTGTAAAGCCAATTCACATTTTTTTTTAAACTTCACAAAATTTTTGACTTAACTTTTGATATGAGGTTACCTAATACAAATCAACAATAATTATATAGCCGAAGTTCTGAAGATTGTGTATATAAAACCCATGTTTCCATATTTTCTAAAACTTTGTCAATTAAAAATAATGAAAAGCCGATTATTTTTTAATAGTAATATGGCGCGTTGGACAAAAGTCTAATTATTAATTAGGTCTAAGGTTTCCTACCGAAACCTGCGAAACCTGTTTAGCCTGATGCTGAAAGGTAAAACTTCCTAATTAGTACCGAAACTGCCGAAACAATGAAAATGCCGAAAAATGCCAAACTATAGTTTCAGCTAGGGTTTCTATTCGAATAAGGTTTATTCGAAATATTTGTTTTATTTATGAATTTGAGTATTCGAATAAAGTGAATAAAACGAACAATTCACGAATAAAGCGAATAAAAAGAATAAAACGAGTAATTCGAACGAAACGAATGAAACGAATGAAACGATTACTTAGTCGACTATTTATTTGATTAATGTTAATATTAATGTTGATCAAAAAAAATTTAGTCGATTATGCTAGTAGTTAATATTAACCAAAATAGTCGATTTCCTATCCCTTGGTTAAATTATCGCGAAATATATTGAAATTTTGCTAGCAGTTATACCAAAAATTAGTTGTATTTCGCATACGCTATTCTACCAAAATTCTCTAGTTTCGGCAAGCAACCTTAATTAGGTTAACATCCAAATATATTAAATGGTTGTAAATGGTTATAAATAATTATTAGCTAATTAATTTGGATTTTAATCAATTATTAGCTAATTAATTTGGATTTTAATCAATTATTTACAAGTGAATCTAAGGCTACCTTTATGTTCCAACATTAACTAATAAATGTTTTGGTGAATCAAAAATAAATTTGTTTCAACATACAGTGAGTCTCGGTATAACGGATATTTAACTAGTACAAATTTAGAAACTATCTGCAAAAATATCCAATTAAATTCAATTTTTTTGCAGATAGTTTCTAAATTTGTACTAGTTAAATATCCATTATACCGAGACTCACTGTGTAATTAATTTGATCTTAACCAATTATAGTATAAAAAAAATAACAAAACAACATATTTTGTTTACGTTGCTATTTTTTATTTTAAGGATGAGTTTATCTTTATCTCATTATGACGAGTATCACAAAGAAACCAATTCAGGTAGCATATCTCAAACTTCCATCTCTAGCATATTTAATAATTTAAAACCTCAAAACATAATTCCTCTTCAAAGTCTGCTTACAATTTAATAGAACATGTTCAAAATACTTCAAATACCCACCAACATGGTAGACCATCATCAGACTCTTTAAATGTTAATGTGAAAATGGATACTGAAGTTATATCAAAAGAAAATAGTGCAACATGGAACCATCTTCAGGAATCTGAACTGGAGACGAATCATCTTTTAACCAATCAAATTCATGAACTTTTTCCTTTATTCAATCAAAGATCATCCAATATTTTAGGAACAAATAATGGAATATTAAAGATTGTAAATATTTATTATCAATGTGACAAAAATTTTATAATAATAATAGGAACTATAGAAAGTGTGCACTGTATTGAAATTGAGTGAAATTTTCCAGTACACACTTTTTACTCACTGATAATAATATAACAATTTATTATATAGGAAAAATCTATTAAATTATTTAGAGAGAATATGAGTAGGAATATTAAATCTTTTTTTTTTACCAATTAATGATTTTCTTTCCTTTAAATAAATATTATAGTTAATTATTTATCTAAATCATTAAGTTCATTAACTTTGTGACATTTACAAATTACAGTAACTAAACAAGTAATCTAAACATTCAAATCATAAATTTCAATGAATTTTTAGGTAATTAAAAATTATTCAAGGATTTTGATTCTTTCTGATTATGAATACTTTTTTTAATAAATTTGTTGTGATTTATTATTTTTTATAATTAGAAACCAATACTAGAGTTGAAGATGGTAAATAAAATTATCATAATCAATAATTAAATCATTAATTTTTATTAAATTAAAAAATTTTATATTTTTACTAATGATACTGGTATATGATTTTTTATTCTATACAAATAAAATTTTATTATAAAAAACTTAGAATTTTCTTCATTATTAAAAAAATTCCTTGATGAAAAAAGTGAAATGCAAAACTATGATTATAGATCAATTAGAATTTATGCAAAGGAATTTATTTGAAGAGTTTAAAAAAGAAATGAAAGGTTATAACTGAATTTGGGTTTTATTATCAAGCCAACTATATTTTATAAATGAGTACAGTATATATAATTAAATGGGTTTTTTATTAACTGATTATTATATAATTTTTAACTAATTATCTTTTTTTTAAGACCTGGAGTTGACACAGGAGGAATATTTATTGAACACTGGAAAAATTATTTGAAATATTTAATGATTTAAAAGATCTTGTTTTTTGATGGCAACAATAAATTATTTCAAGGTGAATACACCAAACACAAGTAATACAATTTCAACTGATGATTTAAAAGTAAGAAGCATATTGATGATTATTTTTTGTTCTAATCAATAATATATTATTTTAAAAAATTTTGTAGATTTTTGTGAAAACATTATCCTTAACAATGTTACATAATGGACCATTGGATACATCTGTTATGAAATTTGCACTTGGATTTGAAAATGCAATCAATTTTGAAGAGTAAATATTCACATGTATAATTTGGCAGAACAAATTATACATCTGGTAGAAATAGGTACACCAGGGTATGATCTTTTAACTATTCCTGAATTTAAAATCTGGGCTGAGCATAAAAATCTTACAGTATGTATTATTTAAATTTCATTAAATTTCATATTGTTTATAAAAATTCCAAGCTATATCTATTATTTATTTTAATTTTAGGCAAAACAATGTTCAAATAGTCAAGAATCATTAAATAATTATCTAGATCTTTATGTGAAGATATATTTTTTTGTGCAATCATGCTTTTGTCAACTAAAAACCAAATGATCAATTGGGGACTGTTCTAGGAAAACACGGGTTAGAGCTCCCAGATTCAAAAATGAGAAATTTATACCAAATTAATCTATA